AGTGAGTGGAGTGTGTGGTTCTTGAGTGGCGATATACTGGGTTGAACTCTGTTACGATAATTGAGGTTAACTGTGTTGAGTTGGCTCATCATCTGGGTTACTTTCCAATTGTGATCTTCGCAGTGTCATCCTGTGATTGGTTGTTGGGAGTTCATCAGGGAGAGAGAACACCGTGTGTATTCTCCCCATCTGTGCATGGTTGTTATTCCGCTGTTTATCTCTGGTCTGTGTGCAGGTGGACTCTGTCTCTTCCTCCCCTTTGTCTCATGCATGTATGGGCGTGTGTGAGTTCTTCTGTGTGTGAGTGGCAAGCAAATTGTCAAACAAAGTTCATAACAGTTGGTATCGGAGCGGAGATTGGACTTGTGGAGTCCAGAGGGTTGAGCGCAACAGGGGCACCTTCTTCATCTGGCTCTAACTGGCGAGAAGGTCCATGGCGGTTCTTCATCTCCAGTGACTATCCAACAGGGAAGAAGGAATACAAGCGGTGATTACAGGAGTATCAGTTGCGATTGATCAGGCACCCTGAGCCTGTCTGTGTGCCTGAGAGGAAGTGGCGAGAATAGGGTTATTTCGCCATCCACCCTCCTTACCTCAGTTGATGACTGGGTCTAGGGTGGCGAAATTTACCCTAATCCAGTTATTACTGGGTGGCGGCTTCAATCCCAGCATAGCGCTGAGGGAGGATTGATCGCAGGATCACCTCCTGCTAAATTAGCCCTACCCAGGACTAAATTTAGCACCAGCGGCTCATACCTGCAGTGGCAAGAAATCTTTAGGAGAGTTTTCTCTCGCCACTGAGCCAGATTCAGTGAATCTGAGGGTGTGGGGTGAATCGCCACATCATACTGGAGCAGATCAACAAGTTTCAGGAGATTCTATGCGTGGGAAGCTCTGGAAGACAGTCTGCAAGAACTGGCGAGACCAGGGTTTGGCAGCCATAGCCAAAGTTTCATCACCCACTGAGTGAAAGACTTCAAGTGTGTTTGTTCCATATGAATCCCTGAGTAGCGATTAGATTAGCCTTAGTAGAAGTAGGATTGGTGGTCTATCTGTCAGTAGTGTAACAATTGCGAAATTGTCAGACTGCAAGACAGCCATATCCACCTTCTTCCTCCCTACCCTGACTCATATCTCTTCATCTATTGACCTGTTCTAACTCGAAATTGTTCTGGGACTGCCTGACAGTATTGCGCTGCATCCTGTATGTTCATTCTGTGAATTATGTCCTGAGAAGGTAGTGATACTGTGGATTTGAGTTTTACGCTAAGTCTATTTATAGTCTAGACTATCTAGGGTCAGTCACAACTCAAAATCTGTCCGTCAGAATTCAAGTCTGTCAGCCTGGAGTGAATCGCAATTCTATTTTTAGCGTCTGTGCTAAAGCGCTAGTCCAGAAACATCGTATTTGGGTCATTAAAGTGCAATCCTGAAATTCGCCATATCTGGGGTTATTTCTGTTGATGTCAACAGTGACAAAATTTGAGTTTGGGGCTGTCAGGGTGTAATTTACTAAATCGCTATTACTTCTTATTTTGTTTCAGTTAATTCTTCCCTGTTCCCATCAATACTACTAATTTGCTCTGCTTTCTGATGGGCTCTGGAATGCTAGTGACCCCTCGAAGGTTGTGAATGTGCATCTTGCAACTCCAGTGGAAGGGCAGTGTCAGGTATAGGGAATCACTAGTGAATGATTTTACTGGACACCTAGTCAACCTGATTACTGACTCCAGCGGTTCAATTCCA